GTGGAACTTGTGCTCCTACTGCCTAGTGCTCTGATTAGACTGAAAATTCCCTGAGGCCAGGAACCTGATGTTCAGGCTTCAGTGCCAGGTGAGTGGCACCCGGGAAATATTTACTGAAAGCTCAGGATAGCACAAGCCCTGTGATAGCCTGGTGTGAGGGCGAGGTAAATGCGTGGTCCTATTACTCAGCTTAATAGGGAAGACAGATATGTAGATGCAAACGTAAGTGCTCTGCGTGTTTGAATAAAGCCTCATGGGAATACAGAGGACTCACTAATATGCACTTAACACAGCATTTGTCGGCATGAAGGGAGTTGCTTCTGGGTGGGCGGCCAGACAAAGGCCCTTTTCCTTCTGACCCATGGATGTGGCTGTCTGCACTGAAAGAGGGGAGTGACTACTGGGCAGCTAAGGGGGCCACCTCGCAGGTTAACAGGGGTGCTGGATTGGCCTGACTCACCCCTCTCCCCGTGCCCCTGGCATGTTACTTCCTGTCTCACAGCCCTGCTTCCGCTGGTTCTTCCTCTTCTGCTCACCTAACTAGTCCTGACCCTTCCCTCACCCCAGCTGCACCCCAACACCAGGGCTTCTGGTACCTCACTGGCAGCCCGCTTTCCCTCTCCCCACTTCCTCACGACAGTCAGTCAGTCCCACTTCCATTTCACTTTTCCTACCACAGGCCACTTCTGCAGGGGGTTAAAGGAATCATTTCTTTATAAGGATCAGCACGAAGCTGGTTCCCACGAGGCACAGGTTGAGGGGTCCCAAATGTCCAACTTTTCCAAACCGCTGTCTCACTCCATCGTCACTAATGTCAGCTGCTCCTCCTCCCCTCAGCACTCCCTGTCTTTGGGTCTCACCGAACTCACAAACCACACTTACAGTTAAGCAGTTTATTAGGGAAGTAACAGGGTACAACACAGGATCGGGATCAACTTGGAAGTAACTGGAATAAATCAGGACGCAGTTCTTCGATCAGAACAGCTTCTTCTTGCCCTCTACTGCGGGCCCTGCTGGGGCCTTCTCAGACAAATGGAACAACTAGCTCTGTCTCCGCTGCTATAGCCCTTGCTACTGCTTCGCCGTCACCCCTCACAGTCTGCTGTGTTACAGCCCCCCCTTCTCTCCCCGTGTCTCCCTTTAAGTCTAGTGGGATGGCAAAACTGACCAATCCACTCGTTAGGGTTCCGTATACCTTATTTGCATCGTCCCGTGCACCTTATTTATATTATTACCAAGCTATCCAATCCCCTTGGTGGGTCACAGCACCTCATTTGCATAGTCCCACCCAGTCATTTGGTGGGAGTTACAAAGACTCCAGCTAGAAGGGCCACATTAAGTAAGTCACTGCACTGTGGGGTGACATGAGCCATTTCTATGGACTCACTCCGTTCTCCATTCTCTACAACCGTCCATACCTCAAACTCCAGGGAAACGGACGCTGCTCCACCTGAGCCACTGATGACCTAGCTGCCGCGGAATCTCCGGCTCTGACCGCCCCCTCCTGAACCGCTCTCCTTCATTCCCGTGAGAACTCGCTCTCCTGGGTTTCCTCCTCTGGCCACCTCTCCAGTGTCCTTTTCTGTGGTTTGTCCCTTAAATGGTGGTGGTGTCCCTCCGGGTTCCCTTCTGGGCCCCCCTCATCTGCTTTCCTGCCTGGTGCCACCCTCCTCCATCATGCCCACCTCTCTTTGGACAGCCCACCACACAGATGGCGCCACACTGATAAGCCCAAGCCCGTGACACGTCCCCACCCAGATGTCCGGCAGGCACTCTGCACTCAACAGGTCCCAACTGTCCTCTTCATTCGGCCCTCACACTGCTCTTCCCCAGTGCACCTCATCTGTGAAAGGCCAGCTGTCCAAGCCAGAAACCCAGGGCCTGACTCGACCCTGTTTCTTGTTGCTACTGTCACCACTACCTCTGTCACCCCTCTTGGATCACTGACCCTGGCCTTGACAGTTCAGGCACCCAGTATTTCTGCCGCTTGCCCTCACCGGTCCCTGCCCTGGTATCTTAAACCTAGTCTCCACAAGGCAGTCAGAGGGACTCTTTATTTTTTCCCATTCAAAAATTTATACCTACACTGTTATGTGACTCTAATTACTCTCCCCATACTCTGATAGCACACTCCTCCTTTCCATCCCTGATTCCCCATGTCCATTCAACCAGCTCCTAACTCTGCCTTCCCATCTCACCTCTGGACAGAAGCTGCCCGTTTAGTCTCTTGTATCTACTTGAGCTAAGAGACACACTCCTCACGAGTATCACTTTATGTCCCACAGTCCAGTCCAATCCCTGTCTGAAGAGTTGGCCTCGGAAATTGTTTCAGTTCTGGGCTGATAGAGAATCTAGGAGCCATGCTTTCCAGGGTACTTCCAGTCTCAGTCAGACCATTAAGTCTGGTCTTCTTACTAGAATTTGAGTTCTGCACCCCACCTTTCTCCTGCTCCATCCAGGACTCTCTGTTGTGTTCCCTGTCAGGGCGATCATTGGTGGTAGCCGGGCACCATCTAGTTCTTCTGGTCTCAGGCTGATGGAGTCTCTGCATTATGTGGCCCTGTCTGTCTCTTGGGGTAATACTTTCCTTGGGTCTTTGGTATTCTTCATTCTCCTTTACTCCAGGTGGTTGGGACCAATTGATGCATCTCAGATGGCTGCTTGCAAGCTTTTAAGACCCCAGATGACACTCACCAAAGTAGGATGCAGAACATTTTCTTAATAAGCTTTGTTATGCCCATTGACCTAGATGTCCCCCCAGACCCTGACCCCTGCTTCTCTATTCCTCAAAGTGTTTGACTGTATTCAGGAAACTTCTTAGCTTTGGTTTAGTCCAGTTGTGTTGACTTCCCCTGTAGTGAGTGCTGTCCTGCCCTTCACCTAAGATAATTCTTGTCTACTGTCTAGCTAGTAAATACCCCCTCCCTCCATCCCCAACCTCGTAACCATCAAAGAATGTTTTCTTCTGTGTTTAAACCTTTTCTTGAGTTCTTATAATAGTGGTCTTATACAATATTTGTCCTTCTGTGGCTGACTAAATTCACTCAGCATAATGACCTCCAGCTTCCTCCATGTTATAAAATGTTTCACGGCTTCAACGTTGTTCTTTATCGTTGCATACTATTCCACTGTGTGTATGTACCATAATTTGTTTATCCATTTGAGCGTTGACGGGCATCTAGGTTGTTTCCATCTTTTTGCTAGTGTGAACAGTGCTGCAATGAACATGGGTATGCATATATCTATTCGTGTGATGGCTCTTATTTCTCTAAGATAAATTCCAAGGAGCAGGATAGCTGGATCGTATGGTACTTCTATTTCTGGCTTTTTAAGAAAGCGCCAAATCGATTTCCAAAGTGGTTGTACCATTTTACATCCCCACCAACAGTGTATAAGTGTTCCAGTCTCTCCACAACCTCTCCAGCATTTATTATTTTGTGTTTTTTGGATTAACGCTAGCCTTGTTGGGGTGAGATGATATGTCATTGTAGTTTTGATCTGCCTTTCTCTAATGGCTAATGATCATGACCATTTCTTCACATGTCTGTTAGCTGCCTGAATATCTTCTTTGGCGAAGTGCCAGTTCATATCCTTTGTCCATCTTTTAATTGGATTATTTGTCTTTTTGTTGTTGAGGTTTTGCAATATCTTGTAGATTTTAGAGATTAGACGCTGATCAGATTTGTCGTAGCCAAAATTTTTTTCCCAGTCTGTAGGTTGTCTTTTTACTCTTTTGGTGAAGTCTTTTGATGAGCACAAGTGTTTGATTTTTAGGAGCTCCCAGTTATCTAGTCTCTCTTCTGGTGCTTGTACATTGTTACTTATGGTTCATATTGTGTTCATGCCATGTATTGGGGCTCCTAGTGTTGTCCCTATTTTTTCTTCCATGATCTTTATAGTTTTTGATTTTATATTTAAGTCTTTGATCCATTTTGAGTTAGTTTTTGTGCATGGTGTGAGGTATGGGTCTTGTTTCAGTTTTTTGCAGATGGATATCCAGTTTTGCCAGCACCATTTGATAAAGAGATAGTCTTTTCCCAAATTAATGGACTTTGGGCCTTTGTCAAGTATCAGCTGAGAGGGACTCTTCTAATGAGAAATCTGATCATGTCGCTTCTCAGCTGTGGGATAAAAACTAAGCTCCCTTGTGTGGCTCTTAAGTACCTGTCCCCGCTTCACTCCTTATTCCCCCCGTCTTCACTCCATGATGCAGCCACAGCAGACCCTTACAGTCCTCAGCGCTCCAGCCACAGCAGATCCCTTAGTCCTCAGCGCTCCAGCCACAGCAGATCCCTTAGTCCTCAGCACTCCAGCCACAGCAGATCCCTTCCAGTCCTCAGCGCTCCAGCCACAGCAGATCCCTTAGTCCTCAGCGCTCCAGCCACAGCAGATCACTTAGTCCTCAGCGCTCCAGCCACAGCAGATCCCTTAGTCCTCAGCACTTGCTAATTCTTGGCCTGGGGTCTTCATATGTGGTTTTCCCTCAGCAGCGAGTCTACTCCTTCCGCCACTTCCACTCCCTTTGTTAAGCTGCTCATTCACCCTTTAGGTTCAGATCAGTGGTCTATGTCCCTAGGAAGCTTCGTGGTAAAGCCCATTATTGCCCCTTCCCCCTCCCAGCCTGGATGAGGGGTCCATGTTCTGTGCTGACCCTCAGCACTGTCGCTGATCACACCATATGTGATTAGGGGCCAGGGTGTGGGGCAGAGATAAGGCAGCTCCGGGGAAGACACAGACTATGCTTTGCTTGCTGGTGTATCTTAATATTGAGCTCTGGGCTTTGCCAAGAGTAGGGGCTGAATCTCTCCAACCTTAGCCCTGCAGGAGCTTGGGAAGTGAGGTGCTAGCTTGCAAGCAACATGCCTCATACCCAGGACCTGGAGCCAAGCCTCCTCATCCCTGGTGTCACAGGCTAGTGGGCTCCCTCAGAGGTGCTGGCATGAGATGAAAGGCAGAGGGCAGAAGACTGGAAGGACTAATCACATTTATTGACTGGTGAACAAAGTAAACAGACAAGTCAATGATCCGGGCCCAGGCTGCCCCAGAATGTTCACCTATCAGGGTTTGGCTGGGCTGCCAGGAGAGTCAACAGCAGCCTTTCTGAACCAGTATCCAGAAGGAACCACTCCTGGACCATGGTCCTCAGGAGTCCTGAGGGTTCTGTCCAGCTGGATTGCCTTGGTGCGTGGCATCAGCCTGGGCCAGAGATCAGTCCCGGGGTCCCGCCCATCACGCTTGTCAGCCTGGGCCTCAGGGTCAAAACTGTAGAGCCCCTAGTCGGCCTGCCTGCCCAGCCACGTGGGGGCAGAATGACCTGCATGAGAAGAAGGTGGGGCAGTGGGCTGAGGTGCTGGGCATGGCTGTTCTGCCCACCCGAGGGAGAATGGAGACCCTGGCAGGCTACTGCTGAGGAACTGGGCAGTGAAGGGGGCCGAGTGTGGGCCAGACCTACAGCCAAAGGTTACGGGCGGGGACTGGGGCCCAGGGCGGAGCTCACCAGCTCAGATGATAGTGGCCTCCTGGAACTTCTCCCCAAAGTAAAAGCGGCTGAAGAGGAAGGGGCTCAGGTTGATGGTCTGGAAGCTACCCTCCAGCACTATCTCGGCCACAGCTCGCCCCACAGCAGGGGCCTGCTGGAGCCCGTGACCACTGAAGCCCGTAGCAAAGTACATGTTGACAACCAGTGGGTGGGGGCCCACCACGCCGTTCTGGTCAAAGGTGTTGTAGTCATAATAGCCAGCCCAAGCGCTGCGGACCTGTGGGGAATAAGCTGGGTTCTTAGGAAGGCTGCACACGTGCTCAGCCCTCACTCCTGGCCAGGGTGAGAATACCGTACCCCCTGCCATCTGCTGAGGGAGCCCCACGGGAGGCCAGGGGTGAGAATACCGTACCCCTGCCGTCTGCTGAGGGACCCCCACGGGAGGCCAGGGGTGAGAATACCGTACCCCTGCCATCTGCTGAGGGAGCCCCACCGGATGGGTGGACAGATATGAGGTTAGTGGTTGTGAGGTGGCGGGAGTATGGCCGTGGACGGGAATTCTAAGGGAACAGAGGTTCTCCAGTGTCACCTGTCCTGTCCAATGTCTGAGTTACCTTCAAAGTCTCAAAAGCTGGCACCCTCTGGGCCAAATGGGGCCACACCTTTTCCTGGAAGAAATCATGGTCCACTTCCAGGTTCCCTGGGTCTGGTTCTTCCTCCTGGGGTGAGAGGTGGGGACAAGACTTATTTGGCTTGAGACCCGAGGGCAGACCAGGCCTCACAGACATCTTTGTCAATCCCCTACTAGGTGGAGGACAGGAGAAAAGACCCCAGTTCTACCTCAGTAACATGGCACAGACCCTTTAGAAAGTCTGAGCCTTTAATAACAAAAGGTCTGTCTCTTCCCAGCAGCGCCGCCCACGGAGGGTACCTCAGTGGGGCTGCAGCCGCCGAGGTAGCTGTTGCCTAGTCCTTCCCGGCGGAAGTAGGCTCCGCTGGTATCTGCAACGAGCGGGGTCTCCAGGCCTGGTCCCTGGGGGCAGTGCCACAAGTACACATACCTGCCATGGCCAGTGGGGCAGAAAATGGAGAGGACAGTACAGCCAAGGGCCCCGCCCCGTCACATACGTGCACGTGTGCGCACACCCACATACGCATGCACACACACATACACGTGCACACACACACACACACACACACACACACAACTTTAATATAGTTTTTTCCCTTCTCTAAGCAGCCTCTTCAGCTGCCCTGGGGGAAGTCACCTTTTCCTCAGCTCCACAGGGAGCTTGGTGCCCTGCAGGGTGCCAGGGGGCCCGTTCCCTATACCGGCCAGCTCTGCGATCTGCCCAGACCAGGCTCCAGCTGCGTTGATGACTACGGCGCACTCCACAGGCTGGTACTCCAGGCTGTGGTCCATCTTTACCTGCAAGCACCAGAGGGGGAGTGGGGGGAGGGCCTTGGCCAGACACGGGGCACCGTGAGCCTCGGTTTGCCCACAGTGGAAGGTGGGCGAGAGAAGATGGAAACGGCGAGAGTCATTATCTTTATCACCCCTCCGCTTGGGTGAGGAGGTGCTCAGGCGAGGCACTTACGTGGACTTCGCGAATCCTTTTCAAAGTCACCTCTTCCCCACTTGCGTTCTCCATGTGGGCGGATGAGGAGATGAAGCCTGTGACAGAGGGAAGTAAAGAAGGGGCCCTGAGACCTGGGAGGGAAGGAGATGAAGACCCCGCTGGGCTCCCAGGGAAAGAACGGACGCTTCCCCGCAGGCGCCGAAGCACACGGAGAGCGGAAGCTGGGTGAACGCGGGCACGCTTGGGCCGGGAGAGGGCTGAGATTTTCAGTTCGTGAAGAAGTCCGAGGCAGGAGCTGAAGTCAGGATGCCTAGGACCACCCTGCAGAGAACCCCCTCGCAGCCCCACACCCCTTGCTGACCCAGTCAGGGCTGTGCCCTGGCTGGCAGAAGAAGCAGCAATGGGCGTGCGGCCCCAGACTCACGTGTGACCTCTCCCTGGCAGAAAAGGACTCCCATGGACTGGACCTTTCGCCGAAGTCCCTGCAGCAGACACCAGGGGTCAAACCAACCTTCGTTCTCCAACCCTGTGACGAGAAAAACAGGACTCAAAGGGGCACTGGGACCCCTCTTCTACCGTATTTCCTGCCTTCCGCCTCCACCACCGACTCCTCTCTCAGGCTTGTAAACTGGGGAAGGTCATCTGGACCAGAGTCGGATCTGCGGAAGGACAGACAGCAGCGTGGCCCAGGGGAGGCCTGCTGGTCAGGAGGGAGGCGTCCCTCTTAGAGCTTGGCTGTGGGGTGCTGAGACTTCCGATCTGAGCAAGGTGCCCCTCAGCCCCTGATCCTGAAGAAAAGCACAGTCCCCTCTCCAAGCAAGCCTCACCGTAGGAAGCCAAGGCTACTCCCTCTGTGTTTATCCAGGGAAACTTGCTCCGAAGCTGCTCAGGAGACAGCAGGCAGACTTTAGCTCCTTCCTGCCTGAGAGAAATGCGTGGTCTGTGTGTGTCGGCAGGGGGGACCCCTCCAAAAGCTGTCAGTCCAACTCACTCGTGCCACTTCTGGACCTATAGCTTTGCTGAATGTGAAAGACCAAGCCCCTAAACAAGGCCCTTCAGAAGGGCCTACCTTTCTTTCTTACCCCATCTCCCTCTAGCCACACCAAACGCCTGGCCATCCTCAGATACTCAAGTCCTTTCAAACACGGTGGGCGACTCCGTCCCTCCACTCCTCCTGCCTGGAGGGGCCCTCCTCCCCATCCGTAGGACAATCCTGTTCATCAGCCCACGTGTCTCCTCTGGGATGCTGTCCCCAAAGGCATCACTCTCAAGCCAGACTGCCTGGTTCAAATCCCAGCTCCCTGTGCCTCAGTTTCACCATATGTAAAATGAGGATGTTCTGATGATTAAATGAGTTAATATCTGCAAAGCATTTAGGACAACACCTGATGTCACTACCCGTTACCTGTTGCCGTCAAGTCGATTCTTACTCATGGCGACCCTGTGTGTTACAGAGAACTGCCTCGTAAGCTTTTCTTGGCTGTAATCTGTATGGAAGCAGATTGCCAGGCCTTTCTTCCAGAGCACTGCCGGATGGGTTTGAACGGCTGACTTTTTAGTAGCCAAGTGCAAACCATCTGTGCCACCCAGGAACCTTCCTGATGTCACCAGTAGGACTTAGCTGCGTCTTTGTTAAACATCCAGCCACTATAACGTATCCCCGTAACGCATCTGGCCCACCTCCTGCTTTTGTACAGTTTTATCGGAACCCGGTCACGTTTGCTTGTTTGTGTCTTGTCTCTGGCTGCTTCTGTGTGTGTGACAGCGGTCGTGACAGGGACCACATGACTGGTACAACCTAAAATATTTACTTTACAGAAAAAGTTTGTCCCCTGACTTAGGGTTCTTGTTGAGAAATCAGATTCCTGGAGAATTCGCCCCCCCAGAAATTCTAATTTCCTAGGACCAAGACAGGCCTGAGATAAGGCCTGTGACCCGGCACATTCTGCGGTCCCGGGCGGTGCTCTGGCCACATGAGTACCACGGCACCTGCCCCAGGGTGTCCCAGGTCTGGGAACGTCTGACTTTCCCGATGGGTCCCGGCTGCCTGGCTTATGCAGGTGCCCCCCGAGCACAGGAGGCTGCCCCGGTACCCACCTCTGCACCTTCACGTTGCTCTCCATGACGGCGGCTCCCTTTTCTGAAGCCAGTAAGAGATACCCTGAGGGGTTGAACTGCAGGTCCAGGGGCGGGTCATCGACCACAGCCAGGTAGTCCTGTGTGTGAAGAAAAGTTCCTCAAGGAGCTGCTTTAAAGAAGGGACAGTCTTTAAAAAGTCTTCCTGCCTTCCTCATCAACAGCTCCCCGAAAACCAGGAAGAAGCCCTCCTTCAGGTACCACTAGCGGGCAGAGAAACCCGGGGCCCCAATTCCGAGCTGCCTGAGCCACTCCTGATCTGAGGGTGCCCCAGCCAGCTGGGCTGGGGAGGGGTCACCACCCCAACCCCCCAAACGTCACTGCACATACGTTGATGTTGCGTAGAAAGCTGGCTGAGAAGAGGGAGAGCCGGATGTTCTCAGGACACGAGAACTGTTGGCGAATCCCTCCCACGGAAAGGCCCGTGGAGGCCTGTCGGTACTGTGGAGACAAGAAAGGTCAGGGTACACCAGCACCCCGATAAGCGTGACCAGGGTAACGGAACAGAAGCTGTGAGTCATGCAGCTTCAGTTAAAGGGGATCCTACGCGAAAGCAGCTTATAATCCAGGAGGAGCTGAGGTGAATAAACCCATACGCAAATCAGCTAGCAGCCTAAAGGGAACAATGTTTATCAAAAGCCTCATTAGCGGGCAATGCAGCAGAAAGCATCAGCTATCTAAACAGGCCTGGGCGTGGTGCTGCAAAATGCGCAGGGCCTGGAAGTCGGAGGGCAGGAGCTTCACATTTCATCTGCCAGCTGGAAAACAGAAGGACACGGCCGAAGCAGCCACACTGGCCGCTGGCTGGCAGCTAAAGTGTAAAAGGGGCCCTGGTGGCACAGTGGTTAAGCATTTGGCTGCTAACCAAAAGGTCGGCAGTTCGAATCCACCAGCTGCTCCTTGGAAACCCCCCGGGACAGTTCTACTCTGTCCCACAGGGTCACTATGAGTCGGAGTCGACTCCACGGCAATGGATTTTTCAAAGTATAAAACCTCAGAAGTAAAGGAACCTCAAGGGGGAGGTTAGGATCGCTGGGTGCATTAAGTACAGCTTGAACGCAGGCCTGTGAGGTCTCAAACGTCCAACACTGTGAAATCTGCTTTTACAAAACACCAGTGTACTGCCAAGGCTCCTGGGTTGAGGGAGGAGACTCTGGGACTATTTCTCAACAAGGTCCACAGCCCAGTCCCTGCCCTTCGGGTCCCCCAAGGCGGAGGTCTTTCCTCTCCTCCCCTTCCCTCATCCTGGAGCCCTTAACAAAATGAGTCCTTTCTTGCCCTACTCACGCGTCTGCCCTACCCCAGACCTCACCGTGTGGTCCCGTTCTACCACCAGCACCCGAATGGCACCTCGCTGCGTCTCCAACCTCTTCAGCCAATAGGCCACAGACAGGCCAATCACCCCACCTCCCACGATCACCACGTCCGCGTGTTCGGGGGGCAGGTGGCTGGTGTCGTACGGCAGATCCCAGGTCCCTCCGGGCAGAACCGACCGGATCTTCTTCTTAATCTCGGAGACCTTTCCACCCCAGTCTGCGGGAAGGGAAGTAGTTATGGTCAAAGAGGCCACACACATCCTTTCCCTGTGGCGGGGAGCGAGAGGACGGGCAGAGGGAAGGGTGGGCTGGAGAGAGACAGCGGCGGTCCCCACTGTCCTCCTCACCCAGCTTTGCTGTATGCTCTACGCCGACGCCTCTCCTTCTTTTCACACATCCTGCCCAGCACTGCAAGACTCACTGTCTAAAAGGAACGCTCTACACACTCTCGCCCTAGGCTGGCGCCTCGCGTATATTTATCTCCCGTGCGGCCCCCTCTCTCCCCTGAGCCCCGGATGGGTATGTCATCTCCACCTGGGTGAACCAGGCCCTGACCAAGAGGCCCTGGCACACCCCAAGCTGCAGCACCCTCTGAAGCATGGCCCCTGTGAGGGTAGCACTTACCCTGGATATCCATCACCACGGACAATCCTACACTCACGGCCTATTAGCAGGTCCTGATGACTTTGCCTCTCATTTGTGACTGCCTCCTAGCATCTCCCCACTCTGCCACTTTTCCATCTCTGCCATCACCATCCTAGATCAAGCCACCCTAATGTCTCACCTAATGGCACATGTAAAAGCCTCCTCATGGTTCCCACTCACTTCTCTCTTGCCCGCCCCACCTCTGCTCCTAATCTCTCTCCTAACCTCGCAACTAGAATAAGCTTCTCTGAACACTGCTCTGATCACATACCCCCTTGTTGAAAACCTCCCCGTGACTTTCCATTACTTGAAGGTCCAAAAGCTGTAACACGGCACCAGCTGGCTCCTGTCCACCCTGCACTGGGCTCTTCCCTTCGGGTCCTTCATGGTACCTTATTTCCACCAGAGAAATCTGCACGTGTGTTCTCTCTGCTGGCAAACTGTCCACTTGTTTGCTTAGTTAACGGCTTGCTTCCTTTAGATCTCAGCTCAGTTATCACTTCCTCAGACAAGCCTTTCCTGACCCCTGAACCAAACCCAAACTCCTTGCCGCTGAGTCAATTCTGACTCATAGCGACCCTATGGGATGAGTAGAACTGCCCCATAGGATTTCCAAGGCTGTAATCTTTACTGAAGCATCAGTGCCACATCTTTCTCCTGTGGAGTGGCTGGTGGGTTCGAACTGCTGACCTTTTGGTTTGCAGCCAAGCACTTAACCACTGTGCCCCCAGGGCTCCTTTTCCCGACCCCTAGACTATGTCAAATTCTCCCATCACATAGTCTCACAGTTCTGTGAACTCTCCTTTACAGCCTGTAACACATTTGCAAACTTGAGTTCATTTGTGATTGCCTCACACTGTAAGAATCCTGAGGGTGGGGATTGTGTCTACCTTCTCCACCACTGAATCTCCAGCCTAGCACAATACCCAGCAATACCAAACCAAAACCAAACTCCAGTTGCCATGGAGTCAATTCCAACTCATGGCGACGCCATGTGTGTCAGAGAACTGTGCTTTTTGGAAACAGATCGCCAGACCTTTCTTCTGAGGTGCCTCTGGGTGGATTCAAACTGCCAACCTGCCAGATAGCAGCCAAGCTCGTTAACTGTAACACCCAGGAACTCTGTAAGTGTCTTCAATAAATTAATCCTTTTGCATGTCATACCTAACTCAAGAATCCCCAAAACTTCTCACAATCTCCAATATAATGTTCAAACTCTTCTCAGCAGCCTTCGAATCCTTCTTCGATCTGGTCTTACCTTACCTGTCCACACTACTTTTCATACTACTACTCAAATTCTCTGCTGTCTAGATGGTTTTTGCTAGTTCCCTGCGAAAGAACGCTTTCCTCCTCCTAACCTCTGCTCAGTTCTCCATAGCCTGGAACACACACCGTCCTGGAACCAGTAAACGTTATCTTCAGGGCTGATCTCAGCTCCCACCAGCTCCATGTGCGTCTACAATTATACTAGCTTCATGGCCCAGCAGTGCAGGGCATTCTCCAACTGGCTTCTATCTAGCCTTGAACTGGCCTATCGTCTATAGAAGCCTTCCCTCAACAGCTACAGGCACCTCCAAGACACATATTGACCCTTTTCTTCTTCCCTCCTTCACGCCCACAGCACCAAGCACAGCATTGTGCACGCGAGCAAGACCTAATGCACACCATGCAACCAACGAATCAGGCTGGCTCCCTCCCTGTTATTCGGTGGTAAACTGAGGCATAGAATGATCTGGGATTTGTCGCCTGAGAAGGGCAGCATAGGGATCCACACACCTGCCCGGCCTCAAAGTCACACAGCGGGAGGGGTCCCCAGAGCCATGCTACCCACTGCTGCTCTCAACTTTACCCAGAGTGGAGCCTCCTCTGCGTGTGCTGAGCCCCCGGGCCGAGAGGCGCCGGCACGAACTGAGCTGCAGCGCCTTGCGAAGCATGGCACCTCCGAGGGGCACCTCTGCACGTTGCACCCTGCTCCTGAGACTGCTCACCAAGGGGTAGACATTGCCGGGGGGCGGGGGTGGTCACAGGCGGTCCGGGCGAGCGCGCTCATTGGCCAGCGACTCTTGGGATTCTCGGTTTTTCCCTCTGGGCCCCGCCCCTCCACGCTATGGGCCGCCCAGGCCCACCCCCACCTGCCATTGGCTAGTCTCGGGGCTACGTCAGCCCTACGCGACCTCGAGGGGAGGAGGCAGGAACCCGGCGGCTCTGAGCGGAAGTGCGGCTGAGCTGGTTTCCGGGGCCGCTGGTGTGACGTGTCCCGAGCCTGGCGCAGCAGGAAGCGGCGGCGATCGTGGCCTGAGTTCCCTGCGCCGGCCCCAGCTCCTCGCCTGCTGCCGCCATGCTCGACTTCTTTACCATTTTCTCCAAGGGTGGGCTTGTGCTCTGGTGCTTCCAGGGTGTGAGCGACTCATGCACCGGGCCCGTTAACGCGCTGATTCGTTCCGTGCTGCTGCAGGTACCGCCCCCGCGGGATCAGAACTCCGGGCTCTCCCTCCCTGACCCCCTGTCCACCGTCCCCTTCGACCGAGCCCGCGCCTCACTCCCAACCCGTCCACCCACCGGTAACCGGGACTCACCCGCTTCTTTCTCCTGCCTACTTCAGACCATCCCCCAACATCGGGACGCCCTCCCCTCCGGTTTCTGGGACTCCAGCTGGATTCCCACTCCCCTTGGCACCTCCGCTTTCGCCATTCAGCCCCCCCTGTGCACCCCCAGCAGCTTGGTTTTCTGTTGTTTCGAAGGCTGGATGAGATAATGGATGGGGGAATGACTTTTGAAAAGTGTAAATGGTGTTCAGCTGCTAGTAGATTTGTTTATATGAGGACTTCTTCCCTTTTGGCTCCCACGTGTCTAGACTTCCTCTCACCTCCTCCTAACTTGGTGTCCCATTTTCTTCCTGGGGGGATGCTAAAGAGAGGTGCCCTGGCGTCTCCTAGTCCTGGGGACAGGTTGGACTTCGGGGGAGTGTCTGGTTCTTTCCCAGAAGTAATCCTGGAGGGCCCTAAGTCTGGCTCTTCTAGGGGTCGTCTGAACTGTGCGACATACTCTTTTTCCAGGAACGGGGAGGTAACAACTCCTTCACCCATGAGGCGCTCACACTCAAGTATAAACTGGACAACCAGTTTGAGCTGGTGTTTGTGGTAAGTGGGGATGTTCTACAGGGGTGGTGATTGCATTCTCCGCATATCCCTGATAATTAAAAGAACGCTGATTAATTTTACCCAGTGATGGTTATGGTGAAGTAACTGAGAAAACCAAGAAGGTTGGGGGTGGGAAAGAAGCTCCTGGGCCCAGTCAGAGAGCTTGGCTGCCTCTCAAGTCGGGGAAAGCTGCCAAGTGGCTGAGCCATCTCTGGAGGCCTGGGTTGAGCAGGATTCCCTTCTTTCTGGGCTGGTGTGTAAGCAGATCTGCTGGCTCCATTTCTTCCCTGAACAGGTTGGTTTTCAGAAGATCCTAACGCTGACCTATGTAGACAAATTGATAGATGACGTGCACCGGCTGTTTCGGGACAAGTACCGCACAGAGATCCAACAGCAAAGTGCTTTAAGTCTATTGAACGGCACCTTTGATTTCCAAAATGACTTCCTGCGGCTCCTTCGGTGAGAGGCTCTCCCTCTCCAGAGGGTTGTAAATTGTGGCCTGAAAGACACTCTCCTAAATTTGCTGCCCAGTTGATTGACATCTTGGTGTGAGGGCCCTTTCTGTGGACTTTGCGTTTTCCTCCTGCATGGGTTAGAAGACCAGCCATTCTCTTTTCTCTGTAGTGAAGCAGAGGAGAGCAGTAAGATCCGTGCTCCCACTACCATGAAGAAATTTGAAGATTCTGAAAAGGCCAAGAAACCTGTGAGGTCTATGATTGAGACACGCGGGGAAAAGCCCAAGGAAAAAGCAAAGAACAGCAAAAAAAAGGGGGGTAAGAAGGAAGGTGAGTTTGGGTTCCTGTGACATACTGGGGCTTGAAAAGGTACGAATGTGGTGCTAAGGACTGAGCTGGTTCCCTGCCCCTCCCTCTCAGATGCCCACCACCCTCACTACCATCCCCAGTCCTTGTGATCCCTGAGATGTTTGCTCCAAGTTTCCTCTTAAAGATTTGGGAGAATTTTTTCGTTGTCTATTTTGTCGGAATTTGGTCTTTTTTCTCCAGTGAGGCTTCTCCTAACAGGTTCTGATGGCGGCCCTTTGGCTGCCGGCAAAGCAGACTCTTCAGTAAAGACGGCTGTCCCAGTGGGGCCTGAGAATGGGGTAGAACTTTCCAAAGAGGAGCTGGTACGCAGGAAGCGAGAAGAGTTCATGCAAAAGCATGGGAGGGGTATGGAGAAGTCCAGGTGAGCATTCTGTCTCCCCGCTTCCTCGTTACTAGCCATGCTGGGGCAAGGAAGTGCTTGTCTGTGGCTCGTGGGTAGAAGTTATACTTTCACTGTAACCCTTTGCAGCAGGTCCCTGAAGTCAGACGCTCCAAAGGAGAAGGGCAAAAAGGCGCCCCGGGTGTGGGAACTGGGTGGCGGTGCTAACGAAGTCTTGGATTATAGCACCCCCACCACCAATGGAACTCCTGAGGCTGCCCTGCCTGAGGACATCAACCTGGTAAGCAGCGACAGGGGGCAGAGGGAGGGTTGCCATTAGTCTAAGACATTGACGAGGAACTAGAGACCAGTGGGCCGTAGCTGAGGAGCCCTGGTGTGCCACGGGTAAGAGCTGGGCTACTAACTGAAAGGTTGGTGGTTCGAACTCACTCAGTGGCTATGTGGGAGAAAGACCTGGCGATCTGCTCCTGTAAAAATTACATCCAAGAAAAGCCTGTGGGGCTGTTTTTGCTCATTCCCGAGGTGGAATTGACCTGATGGCACCGAGCAACAAAAGGGCTAGACGTGAACGAGGGGGTGAGTTCTCTTGGGAGCTTCCCCAGTCAACAGCCAGAGCAGTGTGGCAGGGTACATCCTGGGCCTTTGTTCCTCAGAGCCTTCTGTGCCCCTCACCACATCTCCCTCTTTGCCCTCCAGATTCGAGGGACCGGGCCTGGGGGGCAGCTTCAGGATCTGGACTGCAGCAGCTCAGATGATGAAGGGGCCTCTCCAAGCACCACCAGACCAAGGTAGGGGCGTTCAGGTTGGGGATGGTGTGCCTGGCACCACAAATGATGAGATCTGACTCCCGCCCCCTGGTTTTCTGTGTATTTACGATCTGTACCTGCAGTGCTACGAAGGGGACTCTGGGTGGCATGTTTGGGATGCTGAAGGGCCTCGTGGGTTCCAAGAGCCTGAGCCGTGCAGACATGGAATCTGTGCTGGACAAGATGCGTGATCATCTCATTGGTGAGTTCAGAGGAACAGGGGTTGCATCATGTTCCTGGGGTAGGGATGGTTTGGGAGCAGAAGCACTGAGTCTCTTAGCTGTACCCTAAAGACTGCTTGCTTTTGGTATGGCACTCACACCATGCCTGTCTCCCTCTCTGTCCTCAGCTAAGAATGTGGCTGCAGACATTGCGGTCCAGCTCTGTGAATCTGTTGCCAGCAAGTTGGAAGGGAAGGTGATGGGGACGTTCAGCAGTAAGTATCTCCCTAAACCAGGCAGTACTTAGAGGGTTGTGCATACTGAAAGGTTAAGAGCGCAGGCTTCCATTCTTACTAGTTATGTCATTTCTGACAAATTCATAATCGTATTACACAACCTAGATCTTGAGTGTTGTCGGAAGGAGTCAGTAACATCGTGTGAAGTGCTGGGAACAGTACCAGACATGGTCTGGATTCCAGAGACAGAATGCTAGTGTCATCCACACCCCAGTCCCCTCAGCTCAGGAAGGTGTCCGGCATTCCCGGAGCACCTTCCCTGGGGTTTATGGGTGCCTCTCCCCCAGCGGTGACGTCCACAGTAAAGCAAGCTCTGCAGGAGTCCTTGGTACAGATTCTGCAGCCACAGCGCCGGGTGGACATGCTCCGTGACATCATGGATGCCCAGCGCCGCCAGCGCCCGTACGTTGTCACCTTCTGTGGCGTCAACGGGGTAGGGAAGTCTACTAATCTCGCCAAGGTGGGTGCAGGCCCAGCCTGCCTCTGATGTCGTTTCTTCACTCTCCGTGCCTTTGCAACACGGAAGCAGTTTTAGGGGACAGTTTTCTCGAACTTCTCTTGCACAGATTTCCTTCTGGTTGTTAGAGAATGGCTTCAGTGTCCTCATCGCCGCCTGTGACACATTTCGCGCCGGGGCCGTGGAACAGCTGCGCACGCACACCCGGCGCCTGAGTGCCCTACACCCACCGGAGAATCACAGTGGCCGCACTATGGTGCAGCTGTTTGAGAAGGGCTACGGCAAGGACGCCGCCGGCATTGCCATGGAGGCCATCGCCTATGGTAGAGTGTGCGGGAGGCGGGGGCTGCTCTGGGCCCCGCTTCCGCCTCAGGTCCCCTTGTAACATGCAGACGGTCGGGGTTACCGTCCTGCATACTTAGTGTGAAATAACAAGCCAGATGGTAATAGTGTGGTTCCAGGCCAAGGTCACATGGTCCAACCAAAGAGCCTGAATTAGGTGCCTTTGTTACCTTGTTGCCATCCTTCCCCTCATTCTCCCTGCACAAGTTGTTCCCCGCGTGACCTCATAACCACATTGGAACGTTTAACCTAGCCAGGTTAGGAAGCCAGGGCTGAGCTGACTGTCTTTTCTTCTCTCCAGCGCGTAACCAAGGCTTCAATGTGGTGCTGGTGGACACAGCTGGCCGCATGCAAGACAATGCCCCCCTGATGACGGCCCTGGCCAAACTCATTACTGTCAACACCCCTGACTTGGTGCTGTTTGTCGGGGAGGCCTTAGTGGGCAACGAGGCCGTGGATCAGCTGGTGAGGGCTGGGGCCTCTTCCCTTTCCAGCCTCGACTGTGGCGAGGTAGCTACTTCTTAGCCTTAACATCAACTTTCTCCTTCCCAGGTCAAGTTCAACAGAGCCTTGGCTGACCATTCTATGGCTCAGACACCTCGGCTCATTGATGGCATTGTCCTTACCAAATTTGATACCATTGATGACAAGGTAAATATGGAGGAGAGACTCAGGACAAAGTGAGCATTGGGGGTGGGGGCGGGGGTGGGTTAGGTCCACAGCATCCGGTACTCAGGGAGTAGCTGAAAAGAAGTGAGTTGATTGGGTATCTCCCTTTTGCACTTCAGGTGGGAGCTGCTATCTCCATGACGTACATCACAAGCAAACCCATCGTCTTCGTGGGTACTGGCCAGACGTACTGTGACCTGCGCAGTCTCAATGCCAAGGCCGTGGTGGCCGCCCTCATGAAGGCTTAGCGTGGCTTCTGCCCGACACCCAGCCGCCGCTCCCCCAGACCCCACTCCTGTGTCAACAATGTGCTGCAGGGTATGCGCGACTTGGCTTCAGTGTAGCGAAGCGGCAGGGTGACGGGAGCTCCAGAGGCCCACAGCGCCTCCCAGCCCTGCTCCCTCCTTGCAGACGGAGGGCCCGATCATGTTACAATCACTGCCCCCTGACACCCACCCACTGGGTACCCCCCATCCCGCTCAGGCATTCCTGTCACCCTGCCTCCAGACTCAGTCTATACAGCTTCTACCAATGGCTGGAAGACCCAGCACCAGAGTCGGCAATGTTAATGACACCCAAGAGGCTTCATGAGCCAGCTCTGGGTCTTAACTGGCACTTGTCCTAGGATGCATAGCTTTCAGGTCCCTGGGGCCAGGATGACACCCACCTCACTGTGGCAATGTATGGCCTGTTCTTAATTGCTGCTAATTCTGATGACTTCTACCCCACTGTTTCCCCAAAGCATCAGCTAGGCCAGGGCGATGTGTTACAAATGAGAGAAAAACGAGTCCCCTGCCTCCCTCTGAACTAAAAGGAGCTGAGCTGCAGTGCTGCATTGGGCTTCTCAGCCCCCCTCTTGCCCACGCCTAGAATCCAGGTGTACGCTTGCATGTCCCCTTTGTGGGAGAGAACTGTCGGAAGGGTATCGGCTGCCCCACCGCCCCGCCTCGTTCTTCAGCTCCTGAGCAGATCCTGGCCTTTCCTCTCTCCAGTGCCTGGTAGACGAGCGCTACAGCGATGAATACAGACCTCTCGTTAAGACTTGTCTGGTAGCTGGTATTACACGTGTGCTCTTAGTGCAATACGGTGAAGGCTGTCTGCCCACAGAAGTACATAATTTATAGAAGAAAATAAATTTCATAAATAAATTGCCTTTTAGGTCTTGGAGTTATTTTACAAGGCATTCAAAACTAAAATCCCAGACCACGCTAACCTGTTCTAGGGCTTACGGTAGGTAAGAAGGGAAACAAAGCAACAACTGATAGTGCTCTCAGGAGCCAGAGAAAAGGAAACAGCTGTCCTGAGAATGGGAACGCCCCACCCCAAGAGGAAACAATGAGGCAGGTTAGGATTCTTCTCAGGTGACTCCAAAAGTAGGCGGGCCCTGGAAATAAATGAAGAGGCTTTTAATACGGCTCAGTTGTGTAAAATACTGTACACTAAAAGATTAGAAAACTAGAGCTTCAAGTCATGTTTTAAAAAAGCCAGTAAGCTTAACTGAAAAACCAAGTATAGAATACAAAACTGCAGAAAGGGCCGTGGTGAGACCACGGCTCGGATCCCGAGTCCTTCGTGCAGAGCCGCAGCCACAATCGGAGGGGCATCACGGTGGTGGGCTGTCCCGCCTGGGAGGGCCTGCGCTGGGGTCCCGTTGTCTTCTGGGCATTCTTGAACTGGAACAGGCAGCAGGATATCAAGAACCAGCCAGCGTGAAAAATTAAGTTGGAACATTCACCCCCCACTCTATCCCCAACCTTCAGCCTCTGCATTTTGGTACTTCCTGGCTGGGTTCTTGTAAGTTTACTTGTTAAACACTGTCCACGGCAGGGCCTCACAGCTTGCTCTAACGGTGGCTTCTGTGGCCCTCTCAGGTACTACTGCCTGTGGAGGGAGAAAAAAGGTGGACAGTGATAATGAAACTTCACAAAACCAGTTTACACAGCTAAAGCTGTAGATATTTAGGCATTTTAATGCTTTACAAGTCATAAGAGATATGAGGAATTCTGTGATAGACTATATAGGAAAATAGAATCCTTAATAGGAAAGGTAAGTAGGAGAGAGAAATCAGTATTCTCCGTGGTCGTCACTAAGCCCTAGGACGACATTTTCTGCTGACTGATAAATGGAATAGGAAATAGTGTACCTTACGTCACTGTGTGCTGAAGACGAACCATTCAGCTGACCTCTCACCGTCCCTGCTAAATAACAAGAGTGTATGTCAGTATCAGACATTTAACTGATAAGCTAAAAATATTAACAGCAAAAAGAAGAAAGCCACCAAGGGAGATCAAGGCACAGGGAATGGCTAGAAAGGAAGGCATTACTTAGAAATAACCACTCCAGAAGGCGAGAATAAGGGGTGGGAAGAAGAAACTGCACTAGTCTTGATAAACCAGCATTAACAGAGAAGCAGAAGGTAAGGTTTCTTGGTGCACCAAGATTTCTTATAAGCAAAACAGTGTTTTACATAAACCAAGTATGTCTGCTGTCTCCAACCAGTCTCCTCAAAGGCCAGGTTTAGGGAAAAATGCTCAAGTGAGCAATTTCAACCAAGTCAAAGAGGGAAAAGTAGCAAATATTCTCACAATATTAAATCTATGTCATTCAATGTGGTACCATCAGCCACATGTGGCTATTTAGTTTTAAAAATTCTATTCCTCAGTCCCACTAGCCATGCTTCAAGTGCTCAACAGCCATATGCAGCTTTTAGCTATGGTTCTGGACAGTGAAGACTATAGAAGACTTCTATCATTGCAGAAGATTCTATCGGACAGCAGTGGGATAGATAATGGTGTAGGGGATGTATAAAAATGAACACAGAAGACGAGAGTAATAAAACAGAGCCAGATAAAAGTCATGGCACTCAAACATAAATTGGAGGTGGTTACAAACTGGTATCCCTCTCTTAGAAAGCAATTCAGCAATACGGATTAAGAGCTTGGCTGCTAACCAAAAGGTGGGCAGTTCAAATCCACCAGCCGCTCCTTGGAAACCCTACGGGGCAGTTCTACTGTCTTATAGGGTCGCAATAGTATCGACTTGACAGCAACAGGTTGTGTTTTTATTTTTTTGGTCAACCCTAAAAACATTCATGACCTTTGACCTAGCAATTACACTGAGAACTCTTCCTAAAGAAATTATCTGGCAAAAGAAAAAATGGTATGGATGAAGATGCGTTCACTGCAATGTTACCACAGAAAAAGGTGGAAAACGAAATCAGCAAATTGCCTAATATAGAGGAATAATATGTAAATTGTAACATCTGCACTACAGTATAACAGTCATTAAAAATAGTGGTTATGAAGACTGTAGCCATGTGGGAAAATGTATGATCTACTACTGAATAACAAAAGAACCAAAACTGTTATGTACACTTTGTTTACAACTATGAGAGAATACATAAGCAAAAATATGAATTGGAAACATACCAAAATAACAGCAAAAAGAAAAAAGCAACCAATTAATGGGAGATGAAGTGTGACTAGAAAGGATGGCATTATTTAGCATGGGAATGATAAGAAAATGACTTTTCTATTCCCCATTACTTAATTTTTCTGAAACATATACACTAGATTCTACAGAATCCTTTGAAGCCAGTAATGTTCTCTATGCCAAAGTGAGTACATAGCACAATGCCAGGTATGTAGACAGCTCATGCTCAGTGTTAACAATAGCAAAACACCTCTTCCAGTTATCAGTACATACATCTCCAGAGACTCAGAGCATAACCAAGGATGATAAGCTTGCCTAGTCTCAAAATGAAATAACGTTTTTAACCTTAAACTACGTGGCTACAGTCAACTTGCAAACTCACAAAGTCCCCCGGCCATACTGAAATCCTTGATTTTTAAAACTACAGAACACTAATGACAGCTCATAATTTTGGGGAAAGCCACTCTAGTAGGCAGCCTACACAGTTAAAGACAGAATTTGTGGCACTCCACAACGCTTCTGATGTTTTGTGTCAGGAAAAGAATTAGCGACTTTGTTGTTTAAATTTTAGACTCTTTCATGGGTAGAAGATCTCATAATGCAGATTAAAAGAAATACATAGAACCTGGACATCTCATTTGACAAATGGGAAAGCCTAACTGTGGGAAAACCACAGCGTAAGAATGAAACACTGCAGGACAGCAAGAAAACTTATCCCCAGGAAAGAAAAGAATAGCAAACAGCTTTCACCAAAGAGACAAAAGGTTTGTTTTTCTAAGGGTTTTATAAGATCTCCCAGAGAAAATGGTATATGTGGCTAACTGCCTCCATGAACAACTGCCCCCTTTGCCATGAGACCAGAAGAACTGGATGGTGCCCAGCTACCATTACTGAACATTTTGATCAAAGATTCTATGGAAAAATCCTGACCAAAACAGAATTTCTAGATCCATGGAGGCTGGATGAACCCCTGAAACTATTAACTAAGATAATCTTTAAACCTTAAACCAAAAATATCCCCTGAAGTCTTCCTAAAACCAAACAATAGTTTAGCTTAACTAGTAAATAATGTCTGCCTTGAGCAGTGTGCTCTTTTAAGCTCTATATGGGATCAAACTGACAACAACAACTGCAAAGATTAGACAGGAACCTTAAGGGGCAGTGAATTTATGTTAAAGGTGGAGGAAAACTCAGAACTGGAGGGAGAGAATGGTTGTACAACTACAGAATGTAATTAATGTCACTGAATTGTACATGCAGACATTGTTGAACTGGTGTATATTCTGCTGTGTATAGTCTCAATGACAAAAATAATTTGAAAAAGTAGACAGTTTTCAGTGTTCAGTAATGGTGATGCCTTTTAAAAGTCTTGTTCCATCAAACTATAGCCATGGATAATAAAAGACTGAGGAGTTTTAAAATCCAGGAAAATTTCACTTGAAGCAATGTGTTAGGGATTGAATTGTGTCCCCCCCAAAATGTGTGTCAACTTGGCTAGGCCATGATTCCCAATATTGTGTGGTTGTACACCATTTTGTGATCTGATGTGATTTTCCTATGTGTTGTAAATTCTACTCTCTGCCTGTGGTTAATGAGGCAAAATTAGGTTATATTAAAGAAGATTAGGGTAGGATGCCAACGTCCTTACTCCCCTGATTTGATGGGAGTTTCCCTGGGGTGTGGCCTGCATCACCTTTTATCTTACAAGAGAGAGAGAAGCAAGCAGAGAGATGGGGACCTTGTGCCAACAAGAAAGAAGTGCCGGGAGCAGGCTGCGCCCTGTGGATCCAGGGTCCCTGGGCTGAGAAGCTCGCAGACCAGGTGAAGATTGATGACAAGGATCTTCCCCTAGAACCGACACTGAGAGAAAGCCTTCCCCTAGAGCTGGTGCCCTAGCTCTAGGACTTTTAGCCCCCTAGACTGTGACAGGATACGTTTCTCTTTTTTAAAGCAGTCCACTTGTGGTCTTTCTGTTATAGCAGCACTAGATAACTAAGACACAATGTGACTCAGGAAAGAAATCGGTAATGATTACTAGATTTAGGAAAAGTTCTTTATGTTGTCATAAATACCTGAACTTTAACAGGCTACCCTAAGATGCATTCAGATTGACAATGACAATACTTATTAATACGTAACTTTTCAGGAATATATTCTGTGTACAGCAGCAAACCCACCTTGTGGATCATTGGTAACTTTACTCATGCTCATTTATCTGTTATGAATGGTAACAGACAACTACTGTACATTCATTTATATGGCACTTTATAGGTCACTTTCATGTGTCAATGGATATTAAAATAAGCCTCTGAGATGAGGCTATCTATTCCACCTACCTGTAAAATGAAAATGAAGAAAAGAAGTAAATCATCAGGCTATAGTCACACAAAAAATTAGAGAAATGAACTTAAGACTCCTGGTGATCTTCCAGACCAGTGTTTCAGACCACCCTCCCTCTCAAAAGTCAGCTAGCAAGAACACTACAGGAAGCCTGTGGGCTCCCCTCCCCTCCCTTCCTCTCACAGTGTGCTCCCAGGAAGAACACTCACTCAGGCTGGCCCCCAAAATATTCATAGATTAACAGGACGTTAACTTACTCAAACTTTATGATTAGCAAAACAATGTTTAAGGATCTCATAACTGTCTTCTGTCAAAGCATGATTTTGTAAATTTCAACCAATCAGTTTTTTGCTTCTAAGTTCCTGTATTTAAACCCTGTGAAAAATTTCTTTGGCCGGAGAGCTTTTGTGAATCCCCATGAAGTGCTGCCCGATCCAGACCATTCTATTCCTTCAATAAAACTCTCTCCCCCTTATTTTAACAGAAACTCCAGTTCAAACCTTGGCATTTCCTGGTGTCAGAATTGTGGGATTCAAAGGTGCATTGGCTGCAGCTACCCTTGAGTAATCAAGAACCAGAGCTTTAGTACTGAGGATGAGCCCTTTGAGCTCATTTGTTTTCGTAGACCCACGGGAGTTACCGAAAGGTAAAATAACCTCTTGAATCGAGCTCTGCTTCCTTGTGTAGAACTCTTCGAGGTTCTTTGAAGGATCCAGTTTCATTTTGTCTTTGTTTCCTTTTGTCTTGTCTGTTTTCATTCCGGTCTTGCAAGAATTTGTGCCTCTGCTAGTGGCAGTAGTATGAGGTTCTGGGCAGTTTACTGTCCTAGAAGTTTTCAGGTTTGTGCAATGTCAGGCTCTATAAGCCACAAAGAAAACCAACGGAATGGGGTGATCATTAAAAGCTGACAGGGTGGTTTCCTGCCACAAGAAGCGGTTAAAGTCTCCCATGATAGGATAAGCCAGGTCACGAGACAGGCCAGAGCATTAGGTTGCCTGACAATTGCCAGCAAAAGCTCATGTAACAAAAAGGAACACACTGGTTTACGCAATACACTGTCCAAACCTCACGGCGTCCCCCACCAGGATCTTGTTGAGTCTGAGAGTCCTAAACTTTGTTAAAACTAGAACCTTCTTTGAAAATGGAAAATGCCATATCTAGGGGCAGTGTATGATTCCCTTCTGGGACTCCTGCCTGATACATGGACAAGCCCTATGGCTCTGCTACCTGCTTGTATTTGTCTGTTGGGCATAATCTCACTAAGGACAGTATGAAAAATATGTGGCCACTTTTGAGTTATTTTGAATTATCTGAGTTTTCTGCACAGTAAATTAGAAAAGGCTCCTGAATTAAAGAGAAAATGGGACACCTATTTTAATTGCTATATTGAAGCTTCTAAAACACACAATGAAAGTAAAATTGCTTC